TTTCCACCTGATGGCCATCTCTCCTACCTAATGTCCAGTCCTTTTTCTTTTCCAGGATGCTGTCTAGGAAGGCACGTTGAATTCAGTCATCATGTCTCCTTAGGCTTTCTTGGCTGGGGCAGTTTCTCAGACCTAGTCAAGATCTTGGCAGCTTTGAGGAGGATTGGCCAGGTATTTAGTTGAATGTCCCTCATTTAGGATTTTTCTAATATTTTCCTCATAATTAGCCTGGGATTTTAGACTTTGGAGAGAAGATCACAAAAGTGAAGTGTCATTCTCATAACCTTTTATCAAGACTATGTCCTGCCCACAGAACACAGTGTTGTTGGTCACCTGCCTGAAGTACTGTTTCCCAGGCTCCTCCACTGGAAAGTTACTCTTTCATTTCCCTTTTGTTCCTCACTGTTTGAAAGTGTATACACAGCTCAGACTTGATAAGTGGAGAGTTATGTTTTACCTCAATGTGATGTCTACATAAATTATTTGAAATGCTTCTATATAGGAGAGTTGTCTGCTTTCCTCCATTTATTATTTAATCATTTATATTAGTATGGACTTTTGGATATGTATTTTTTTAGTTTTATTGATTTTTTTAAAATACATGACATCAACAGAATGCATTACAGTTCTTATTACATATATAGAGTACAATTTTTCATATCTTTGTATATAGAGTATATTCACATCAATTCATGCCTTTATACATGTACTTTGTTTTTTTTGCATTACAATTCTTATTACACATATATACCAAAATTTTTCATATCTCTTTATATATAAAGTATGTTGATGTGAAATTCAAGTCTCCATACATGTGCTTTGGATAATGATGTCCATCATATTCCACTACCCTTACTAATCTCCTGCCCCCTCTCTTTCCCTCCCACCCCTCTTTCCTATTTAGAAATCATCTAATCCTCCCATTCTCCCCCTTCATACCCCACAATGAGATAGCCACCTTATATCAGAGAAAACATTTGGCATTAGTTTTTTGGGGGATTGGCTAACTTCACTTAGCATTATCTTCTCCAACACCATCTATTTACCTGCAAATACCATGATTTTATGCTATTTTAATGCTGAGTAAAATTCCATTATGTATATATGACACATTTTTTTTAATCCATTCATCCACTGAAGCCCATATAGGTTGGCTCTACAGTTTAGCTATTGTGAATTGTGCTGCTATAACATTGATGTGGCTGTGTCCCTGTAGTATGTTGTTTTTAAGTCCTTTGAGAGGATATGTATTTTCTACTTTGAATACTAATCCAATGTTACTTTACTTTTGTTGCTCAGATTATTCATTTGGAGTTTTTCTACTTGGGTTCCTATTTATCTTCGACATAACTTTTTTTTCTTTATACTTTTTAAGCCTTTTCCTTCCTTCCTTCCTTCCTTCGTTCCTTCCTTCCTTCCTTCCTTCCTTCCTTCCTTCCTTTTTTCTGTCTTCTCTCTCTCTCTCTCTCTCTCTCTCTCTCTCTCTCTCTCTCTCTCATTTCTTTATTTTTTTTTCTCTGCCTCTCTCTCTTCTGAGGTTTGATCCCAGGCCCTCAGGCATACTAAGCAAGAACTTTGCCAGCAATCTATTCCCCAGTACTTTTTATTCTGAAACAGTGACTTGCTAAATTTTCCAGGCTGGCTTTTGATTTGCAGTCCTCCTGTCTCAGCCTTCTGAGTACCTGGGATTACAGGCATGCCCATCGAGCCCAGCATTCCATTACTTTCTGATACTATGGATCTTCCTTCTGAGACTACATGGATATAATTCTTCTTATATAGTCCCTACCCAAGTCCTAGAATTTGTTGATTATTTAATTTATTATCATCATCATAATCATTATCATTATTGCTGAAGATTGAAAGCAGTGTCTTGCCCAGCCTAGGCAACTGCCCTACTGCTGAGGCACTTGTATGAACCTTGTATGATGATCATAATAAAGATCAAATTTTAAAACGAACTGAGTATCATTTAGGCACAGAGGTGCATGCTGTAATCCCAGCTATTAAGAAGGCCAACACAGGAGAATAGCAGGTTTAAGCCCAGATTTAACAATTGAACAAGACCCTGTCTCAAAATAAATAAATGTGGAAAACCAGCCTCTACCTCAGAGCAAAGCCTGTCCAAGGAAGGGACATCATCTTTGTCCTTGGAATGACCCACAGAGCACTCCTAGGCACATTCCCACCCTGCTAAGATGTTTATCTACAAATAACAGGAGAGATCTGCTGCGCCAGGTATCCCTGACTCAGTCAGACTAGGTGGGGATCCATAGCAACCCCCTAGCACCCACCAATCAGCATGAGACAGGGAAATACCTGGGATGCCAGATGACCTTCCCAGTAGTTTATGGTGGTTGATAAAGTATTGGGAAACCATGTAGTTCAGCATGTACACCCCTTTTGGCTTAAACCAATCAGGCCAAATGAATCCCCCTCTTGTAGTAACCAATCACCCCTCCCCAACTTGTTCCCGCCAGTGAATGTGCTAATCATGTTTTAGAGTTGTTATTTGATTTTCCCGCGGTGTGTGATGATTTGCTAAGAGATGCTATGATGTATGTGGGGGGTCCCTGCCTTCTCCAAAGAGTGTATAAAACTGCTGCAAACCCAGGGCTCGGGGCCTCTCAGCGTCACCGGTTGCTTTGTGTGCGCGCAGACGACCGAGCTAGCTCGCAATAAACACCTCTTTGCTGCTTACATCCATCTTGGGTCTCTGGTGGTCTTTTGGGGGTCCCGAATTCGAGCGTAACAAATGCAAATGGACTATGGATATAGTTCGGTGATAAACACCCCCGGGTTCAATGCTCAGTACCATAAAAAAAGGGAAAAAAAGTGGGGCTGGGGATGTGGCTCACGCGGTAGCGCGCTTGTCTGGCATGCGTGCAGCCCTTCGATCCTCAGCACCACATACAAACAAAGATGTTGTGTCCACCGAAAACTAAAAATATATATATATATAAATATTTTTCAAAAAAGGGAAAAAAAGTACTGTGTGTCTGTTGTGTGTAAGAACTTTTATTAGGAATACCATTCTTTAAAAACAATTGAACATGAAGAGTTGAATCTCTTGATTTGCTTGAATTTGTGGGGTTCTCTGGGTTAAGGGAATAGCAAGCCATTTAATAGAGCACTTCAGGCCTTTGACAGGAAGAGCAGAAATATAATTTACTAAGAAATCTCTTTTTAGTTACATCTTGTATTTTGGCTGAAAAAATTACACAAATATAAGACTTCAAGTAGGTAATGACATTTGTAGGTAGTTTTTAGGTGACCTTCCAATTTTTCCTCCTCAATGTCATTTCAAATTCAGATGATATATATATCAGTTTCATTTATTTAAACTTAATATTTATCTTCAATGAGGGGAGAAAAATGTACAAGAGACTAAAGTGCAAGTATGATTACAACCATGAAAAACCCACAAAAATATGAACATATTTTAAAAAATGAAAAAATTCATGTAGTATTTGTTTACCTTTCATCTACTGTCCATGAGTGAAGCTTGTTTTTGAGGGAGGCATCAACTGTGCTGTAAGAGAAGATCCTAGGGTTGGTCAAGCCAAAAGGAATGGCATCTAGAAAGCCTTTTTGAGAAACTTCTTGCTAAGGAGAAAAGATGATGACATAATCAGCAAAAAGTTAGATCAGAACCAGAAAGATTCCTCCAGTTATGAATTCAAATTCAATTGCCACAAGCTTCCTTGTCATTTCTGACAGTTGTTCTTATGCTCTGACTCTCTCGGAAGCTTTGAACTCAGGTAATAACTTTCAAGGAAAACCATAGTTTGTGTGTTTTTATCAAACAATCCCATGACTATAAGGGATGGTTACCTATCATTTTTTTCAAACTAAATTCCCATTATAAAGTCAAGAACATTAGAGGAGGACATAACCTTAGAGATCACTTACATAATGATTCTATATATATTAGGACAAGACCCAGAGAGGTCTGGTGTATTCCTTTGGGTCACTCCACAGTCAATAGTGTGGAATTAAATACTGACTCTCTTGAATTTCAGATCAGAGCTTTTTTTAAAAAATATCTCTTTTTTCATTGTAGTTGGACACAATACCTTTATTTCACTTATTTTTATGTGGTGCTGAGGATCAAACCCTGGGCCTCACACATGATAAGCGAGTGCTCTACTGCTGAGCCAGAACCCTAGCCCCAAATCAGAGATTTTTTCTACAGAATTGTGCTTTGTTAAACATTTGTACATCTGACTCATTCATTTATTCCACAGAATGTTTATGATAGCTGTTTCATGCCTGACACTATCTAGAGTTCGCAAGTACAAATTTGCACCACTTTTAGTAATTAAATAGAAATATGGGTAAACTACCACCAGGTGGCATAAGACTTCAGGTAGGTAATGACATTTGTAGGTAGTTTGTAGGTGACCCTCCAATTTTTCCTCCTTGATATCATTTCAAGTTCAAATGATAAGAACAGGTCTGAATGTGCAATTGAGGCTTATCATTTTCTATCAGGATACCACAATTCTTCCAGCTTCCCAGGCAAAAGTCTTTGAGTTATTTTTGTTTTATTTCATCTCTTATTTAATGAGTCACTGCTAGTACAGACTGGCTCCTTTCCTCATCTTTAGCCCTTTTGTAAAAACCCTCCAATGTAGCCATATCAGAAAGAAAAGAAAAAAAAATACCTTGTGTGCATTTCTCAGCGTATTTCAATTTTACTGCTTCTGAGTTTTGCTCTTGCTGTTCATTTTCCCTGAAATTCCTTCTCTTTGAAACTCTCTCCATCATCACCTCACTCTAGCTGAGTCCAAAGTCACTAATGTTCAGCAAGCACTTGAGTAGTTATTTTTCAGCTAAAATACAAGATGTAACTGAAAAGAGATATCTTAGTACATCAAAACATGAGTGATAGTAATATAGGAAAGGCCCAACTCTATTTTCTACCCTCACACAGAATCTATCTTCTTCCCAGCTCTCCCTACTTGAGAAAGTCTAGTAGATCAAATGGGTATGTGCCATCTTAGAGGCATTTTACCAGGCAGTGTGGTGACCTAGGTATCAATCCTGCAGAGGTGGTCAAGAAAAAGACTGGTCCTTGTGTGGAGTCTGAAGGTGATTCAAGTAATTTAAAAGGATACAGGGTCAAAAATGTTTCTACACAGTGAGGTGAAATAGTTTGGCACTTCAAAGCCTAACAGTGGTAGGGTGGGTAGAAGGTATCCTGCACATAGGCAAGTGGGAAAAGGCAATTTAGGAAGGTAGAGCTGGGTGTGGGGGTGCCCACCTGGAATCCCAGTGGCTTGGGAGGCTGAGGCAGGAGATCACAAGTTCTAGGCCAGCTTCAGCAGCTTAGTGAAACCCTACGCCACTTAGCAAGACCCTGTCTCAAAAAAAAAAAGAAAAAAAAAAAGAAATGAAAATGGCTGGAAATGTGGCTCAGTGGTTAAGTGCTGCTGGGTCCAATCTCTAGTACCAAAACAAATAAGAGAAAAAATAAAGGCAGGGACTAGATTATGAGGACTGTTGATGGGCTTGCAAAGAAGTTAAGGCTTTATCCTATAGGCATTAGAAGTTATTACAAGACTTAGAAAAGGGGAATGACAAGAACTGATTTGCCTTTCAGAAAGATCCTTCCTGATTGTGGTGTGGATTAGAAGGGGAAAGACAAACTAGGCAACCAATTAGAAATGACCATAGAGCCTGGATGGGTGGGGATTTTAAGCCCTGAAGAAGGGTAAAAGCTGTGCTGAAGCAGGGGCAAGAATGGATCTGAAAGGTTCAACAGAATTTGGTGAATAATCAGATATGGGAGAGGGAGAGAGGATTGGGTGGACCCCAGGTTCCTAGCTGATGTCACTAATTAGGAGAGAGGATACAGAAACTAAGTAGTTCTTAGAGATGGTGATGATGAATGTGTTGAGTTTATTTGGGAATATTTTGGTCTGATTATTTGTATTAATTAACTTCATACATTAATATATGGGTTAGAATGAAAGTTCTCAGTATTGAAAAACTTCCTTAATACCATTCTTCAATTTGGCAAAAATATTTAAATGTGTTCCTTCTTTCTTGTAGTAGTTAGGAACAGTGGGGATTGTGGATCATAGATTCCCAAATATCTAAAACAGTGTCATTCTCATACATTTTTATTATTTTAACAAATGCAATTTGTTCACTCTGTAATTGATACAATGTAATTTTTATTTCTGTAAGACTTTTGTGCACATATAAACTCATAAATCATCAAAAGGTTTAAGATATGACTTCCAGAACTCAATACCCAATAGAGAACCATTCAGCAGTAAATGGCTATGTTTTAAAGATGTTTGTGGGACATCCAGAAAATGGGCATCATGTTGAGTAAGGAGGAACCAGAGAGAACTGCAGTGGGGATAGCTGAGCAAATCTCTAAAGTATGAGCAAATTCTGAAAAGTCAGATGGGGCAAAGAGAACAGCATTATGAGGGACAGGTAGGAGTCCATGTCAGTGAGTTCAAGGGGGATGAAAGGCCTTGGCCAATCTTGATTACCCTTTGGACTCAGCTAGAGTAACTTAATGAATCTGATAGGTTCTCTGACTCCTATTGCTGCTGTCCAGCATCCACATTCTCTTCAGCATTTATTGTGTGATAGTTTTCCTAAGGTGTAATGGAAATTTTTTATTATATGTTTTCCAGGTTGTTTTTCTATCCCTTACCTGTTTTTTCTAAATCTGCATCTCATTCTGAATTTTAGATTTTCTGGCCTTAGTGCTAAAATCATTTAATAAATTTTAGTATTCTCTAACTGCCCTAGTTTTTTGGTTTTTGTTTTTTTTGGTAACATCCCATTTGCCTATGAGGTCCACATGCAGCCTTTTGAGGTGATGTAACTAAACTCCCATTAGAGTTAACTGTGTAATAATGAGGTACTCATATAACATATCCTGAAAAGCAGTAGATGAATTCAACATTTGGTAAGGATACATAATAGCAAATCTTGCAAGGAGGCATTCAATAAATCTTTCTGAATGAGTGAATTTCACATAATAACCTGTAAATAAGGAAGACTGCATCTTCTTCATTGTATAACTTCATTAAATGGGTTTTACTGCCAGAGCAAGATGTACAAGAGGGGCTCAGAGGATAATTTGCCAGGCCATGGTGCTTCTGCATCTGATTTCCTTTGGCTTCTTCTGTCACAACAAGCTTCCTGGTCCTCAGAGGGTCAGGGACCCTTCTCTCTAGGGGGTCCGAACTGAAGATGTCTCTGAAGTACATCAAAACATGACTTCTGTTTACCAAGTGGCTGACCTCCACTTTTGTTATTTGTTTACAAATAGGAATTCAAAATGTTTTGAAAACAGTTTTTTCTTTAAAGCTGGTAATCCTTTTATGATTTGTTTTATTGTTTCTCAACAAGCTACTAATGTCACTGATAAAGCAAGATTGTAACTTAATGAGCCACACTTTGATGGTTGATCATAAATTCTCAAATTAACATAGTCCTAATGAAGGACATTTTATTATCTGTGTCTATGTCTGTATCTACATAGGATTTCACATATGTGAATTATGAATCAGTAACTCCAAATTGGAAGGAAATATAAAAATGAATTCTGCCTAAATCTTACTTTGTACAGATGAAGAGATGTGTGACTGGTAGATTGTTCTTTTTTTGCACTTAAGAGGCTAGCTCTAAATTTAAACACAATCCATAAATAGCCTCCTTTCTGATATAATTTGCTATGATACCATGCTCTGCTGAGCACATTACATGTTATGTAATGCTCTTACATCTATTGGCTGTGTCTTATCTCCTAAAAGTCTACAGATACTTTGAAGGAAGAGATTATGTTTTATTTGTCTTTTCATTCCCAATTGTACCTGCTCCAGTTCTTTCCTAGTAGCTGCTGTGAAGTTGAACATGAATCATGCAGGTAGCCCTGATTCTGCACTGAAATCAAGGAAATAGGCATCAGGGTGATAGGTCTCTTTCAGGTGTGGCAGATTGTCTTCTGTTCCAGGACACCTGTAATTTCAGGTGGATAACCTGTTCAGTGTTTGGAGCTCTACTCTCATTCTTTGCTTGATAGTTACAAAGCTACATCTCTCTGCTGAAGCCCACCTTTCCCATTGTTTTCCCAGTCTCAGCCTCAACTGCCTTGAACTAGACCAGACTTGCTAACCCCTGGTTTGGATCCAAGTTAGAGTAGCTGCCTTTTCTCCAACCTCTCAACACTGTGCTCCTCAGCTCAGCCCTCCCTCCTGTTGGTAAGCCCTGTGGTAAACACCTTAGGCAACCAGGGGTAATTCACTGAGAGCTGAAGCTCTTCTTTGTCCAACACTTTTATATAAAATAAGTGGCAGGGGGAGCTGTTAAATTATTTTCAAAAATAAATTTGGACACTAATTATTCATTTGACAAATATTTATTAAATACCTAACATCTCCCATACCAGATGCTGTTGTGGATGCTGGGGATATAGCTGAGAACAAAACCAAATCCCTTCCTCCATGAGGTTTATTTACATTCTTGTCAGGGAGAGACCAAGAAATGAATACATGAATAGATATATAATCTTCAGTCACTGCTAAAATTTAGTGATTAGTGTGATGAAACATTAAGCAGCAAGGAAAGGGGGTAGAAAGTAACAGGAGGAGTTGCTGATTTAGACAGGATGGCCAGGGAAGGCCTGGACAGAGAGACTTTTTGGAATCATCTACAGAAGAGTGCAGTTGTTCTGGAAGACAAATTGAGAAAGCAGAATAAAAAGGAGAATAATTGACAGAGAGTTGACCTTTGGATTGGCAGCATGGAAATTAATGGTTATCAAGGCAACAGCAGTTGTATTGACTTGGAAGAGACCTGATTGGAATCACCTCAGACTGAGTGAGAGAGGAGGAAATGGAGAGATGCAAGTGCACTGTGCCTTTGAGGCACATTGCTTCAAAGGAAGCAGTACCCACAGAAAGCTGTGGGACCAAGATAATTTTTTATTTTTTCCAAGCTTGAAGAAACCACAGCATTTTTATGTGTAAACAAAGATTCAGTTAAGAAGGAAAACTGGTGATGCAAAAAAGAGAGAGGTTGCAGTATGGAGAAGAGGCAGTGGGATTCAGTGTGCATGTGAACAACATTTTTTTAATATTTATTTTTTAGTTATAGTTGGACATAATACCTTTATTTTATTTGTTCATTTTTATATGGCGCTGAGGATCGAACCCAAGACCTCATGTGTGCTAGGCAAGCGCTCTACTGCTGAGCCACATTCCCAGCCTATGTGAACCACATTTCCTCCTATAAAAATGCAGAAGCCCTGGCTCAGTGGCAGAGTGCTTGCCTAGCATGTGTGAGGCACTGGATTGGATTCTCAGCACCACACATAAATAAACAATTTAAATAATGATCCATTGACAACTAAAAAAGTTCAGTGCTTTGACATTTCAAAAGAAGGCAGATTATCAATGGTAAAGTCAGTGGTAAACTAACCATTTTGTCAAGTGCACATTTTATTTCTTGTCTGTTGTGCTTTTTCATCAGTATAATTTGAAATAACACTGATAATAAGATTATTATGAGGAATTTTTAATGGCCTTCCAGTGAAGTCATTGGTGTCTTAGAATAACTCGAAACTCTTACTCATCAGTTTATGATAAGTAATCTATCACATTATTATAATCAGACCTATATAGTTAAAAAAATAACAGCTTCCTTTCTGTTTCTGTGGAACCTCTGCTAAATGGGGCTATAATTCTCTAAAATAAAACCTCAGAGAAAACCCCCAATTGGGAAAAGTATGATCCTAATGGACAGAAGACTCAACCTTTCCTGCTTGGGTTTTTCTCTTTATAGTACCTCAGTTCTGTGTTTCCAGGAATAAATAGAGGTAGAAACTGACTGAAAGTTCAATCTACTCTTTACTTCTTCCACAGGATGAAAGCTTTAGATAAGATAAGTAAAAAACAAGATTTTCAGGATATCATTGCCATGGTCATCAATAGCTTCTATACTCTCAGTAAATGTAAAACTTAGGGCAGTTGAAAAGCATTCCTATAGATGTAAAACTAGAGGTTTTTAAATTTATGAAAAAATACTAAAGCTCATCTATTATCTTGCACCTTATTTTACAGATGAACAAACTCAGTGACAAAGTGGTTAAATAATAGACATAGAAGTGTTGTCAGCTGTGTTGGGTGAGTTTTTATGTTAATTAAGAGAAAAGTAAAATAGTAATGAAGTAACTATGATATTCCTTCATTTATTGAGTGATTCCATACACTGGGTACTATGCTGACCACTTTAAATTCATAATCTCATTTAACATTTACAGCATCTATATGTGGTGGAAAGGTGGTTGTATTAACCAGTTGTCACAGAACCAAATTCATCACTTGCCTCCATTTCATTCTCTGTAAGTGACCAATAATTTATAATGCTGAATGCTTGAGGCTCTATATTCCTTAAAAAATAAATTTCTATTTCTTTACTATGTAATCCTCAGGCACAGTCTACATTGGTATCAATACTATCTGTGAAATTTTTAGAAGTACCAATTCTCAAACCTTCCTAGGTCTACTGAATCAGCAATTTCTGTTTAAAGCCCTCCTACCAGGTAATTAAAATATACACTAAAATTTGAGAACCACTGCAGACTATTATAGGCACCAGTAGAAGCTTCTGGATCTCTTTCCTCATACTATTAAACAAACAAACAAATAAACCAACCAACCAAACCATCCTACATCCTTGAGTAGTGACCATAGAGATAATTGCCACCATTAAAGACTTAGAGGCTATGTTTGTTTGGAAAAGTTGCTGTGGTTTGAAAGTGTTCCCAAAATGTATGTGTTAGGAACTTAAACCCAAATGCCACAGTGTTGGAAGGTGGGGCTTCACCCTCGTGAATTAACTAATTCAGATTATAAAAGGGCTTGAGGCTGCAAAATCAGTGTCTTATTTTCTCACCTTCTCACCTTCTTGCCTTCTGCTGTGGGATAACGCTGCAAGAGGATTCTTGCCAAATGCTGACAACTTGATATTGGACTTCCCAGCTTCTGGTGCTGTAAAAAAACAATAATTTTCTTAGTTACAAAGTATGTGGTATTTTAAAAATGTGTTCTTATTAGTTATACATGAGAGTATAATGTGTGTGTGTGTGTCTGTGTGTGTGTGTGTGTATATATACATATATATATATATATATATATATATATATATATATATATGAGAGAGAGAGAGAGAGAGAGAGAGAGAGAGAGAAACTTTTCATTCTTCTGCTTGTAAATGATGTAGAATTACATTGGTCATCATGTAATCATATATACACATAGGAAAGTAATGTCTGATTCATTCTACTATCTTTCCTATTCCCATTCCTTCTCCCTTCCCTTTATTCCTCTTTGTGTAATCCAACTTACTTCTATCCCCCACCACCTCACTTACTGTAATTCACTATCTGATATCAGAGAGAAATAATTATGATATTCCTTCATTCATTGAGTGATTCCATATACTGGGTACTGTGCTGACCACTTTAAATTCATAATCTCATTTATCATTTATAGCATCTATATGTGGTGGAAAGATAGTTTTTTGGCATTTCATGTTTGGGGATTACCTTATTCCACTTAGCATTATAGTCTCCAGATCCATCCATTTACCTGCAAATGCCATAATTTCATTCTTCTTTGACGCTGAATAATATTCCATTTATATACTACATTTTCTTTATCTATTCATCTATTGGAGGGCCCCTATGTTGGCTCCATAGTTTTGCTATTGTGAATTGAGCTGCTATAAACACTGATGTGGCTGTAGTATGCTGCTTTTTAAGTCCTTTGAGTATAAACCGAAGAGTGGGATAACTGGTCAAATGGTGGTTCTGTTCCAAGTTTTCTGAGGAAAGCTCCATACTGCTTTTTATAGTGTTTGTACCAATTTGCAGTCCCACCAGTAATGTATGAGTATACTTTCCCCCCACATCCTCACCAACATTAATTGTTACTTGGATTCTGGATAATTGTCATTTTGACTGGAGTGAGATGAAATCACAGTATAGTATTAATTTGCATTTCTCTAACTGCTGGAGATGTTGAACATTTTTTCATATATTTGTTGATCTACAGTACTTCTGTGAAGTGCCTGTTCAGTTCCTCAGTATATGGTTTAGCAACATAAAATGACCTAAAACAGAAGGAATTGCTATTTTATTCTCATTTAGCTCACCAGTTTGGCAGTATTTTAGTCATTGACAATGAATTATTAAAACTCAACCAATTCAATTGAAACTGGTAGATGTTCAGAGGTAGTTTTTTGTTTTGTTATTATTATTGTTAATTTTTCTGATAAAAACTGCATACTTTCTGATGCACCTATTATTGGGCCTTAATGGATCCTGAAAGCAATGGGAAAACATTCAAGAGGGGCTTAGCTCCCACTCCCATGAGTAGAAGGCCACTCATTCCCTTTTCACCTTCTTCTTCTATCTCTGGCTGCCTGGGGAGTTTCCTGTGCCTTGTTGCCTGAGGAGGAAAAAAAATGCAGCTCTTATTGATAGATGGTTTTGCTCCAAATGCTGACATCAGGCTTTCAGGGGTGACATGAGTGGATTTCCATGTCAGAAAATCTTACCTCTAGGTAAAGCTAAGTAAAAATGCTATAGTGAACTTTGCCTGTGAGAAATACCTTGTTTCAAGAATTGCTCTTGGGTCTTCAATTTTAAACATTATACTACTTGAAACACAAATAACACATTTACATTAATTAGATAATCTACCGAGTTGACCTGAATATTGGAACCATTGAATTAAAAGTATTGTCCAGTTTTAGAAGTAATACTATAGAAAATGGTGTACATTCTTTAATCAAACACCATCTGTATTAATCAAGTGTACTGCAGTAATATTGTTTAGCAATCCTCCCAAAATAGTGGCATAGAATACTATTTCCGGCTGACCCATCTAAAAGTCAGTTGAAGGTTGGCTGATCCAACCTGGCTTCAGGAAGGCCTCCCTCCTGGTGACTCCAATCCTCCAGGACTAGGGGCCACCCATAGCATGCTTCTCTCTTGGTGGAAGGCAGGAACTTAAGCAAGCAATCCCAAGACAAGCCTCTACTCATGGCTACTAAAATCCTATTAGCCAAAGCAAGGCACATAGCCAAGCCTATATTCAAGGGGTAGGAGAATTTCTCATTGAGGAGAAGGTCATGGTGAAGATTTCCTGAGCAGTAATCTAATGTGACCACACTATCTAAGTTTAAAACTGGCATTTTTATCCTCAGAAAAATATTATGCAGTATGTTGTCATCAAAGAGCTGCAATAGTACATATAGCTGATTCAATATAATTTAACAAATAGTGTTTTTGTTTGTTGGGCACTGTGTTAGGTATTCAAAATATAGAAATGAATAAGACTAGTCCCTACCCTCAAGAAACTCAGGGGCATAGCTACAAACAAAGGAACAATATAAACAAATTAATATTTGATTTCTTAATGCAACAAAAGCAGTTTTGTTCCCATTTTATACATAAGAAACCTCAGAGCAATTAAATAATTTGTTTAATATTGTATAACAGACAAAACTGAAATTTAAGCTTTTTGAGGGGGTTTAAGTTCTAAAATCCTTCCTGTCATTCCTTACAGTTGTCTCCACAAGATAAGCACAGAGATCATCCTATCTCATACCTCACTTTTGCTGAGATCCTTGTATCTTTAAGGCAACAAAAACCCATTATCTTGGTGAATTGAGCCCCATGATAATGCATGTAGGTTGGATTAAATATACTCTCCATTTCTCCATAATTCTGCTCCTTTGACTTAGATTTCACATCAAACTAACCTTTATAATAATAAGTAGCAAGTCTGATTTATATACCTATCTAAGGTAAATAGAGATCTTAGATGCTAGAGGATACCTTGATCAGTTTTTAAAATACCTGAGGCACAGGCAGTAGTCTTTTAGTGGAATATAAAATATTTTGATGACTAGGGAATACATTGAATGTACCATTGGCTTCTCCATTCCAAAGAAGAAAAAGAACTGTGGGCAGTTATAAGGTATCCTGAGGGCTGGAATGTATGTACATTCATGACTACCACCTCTGTTAACTAGTGCCATGGAGCTATTATTTAACGTTTTATTTCAATATCATATTAGTGTGTGTCAGAACATTTCAATATGAAATGCCTCTTCATATTTGTTCAGGAGAATATCCGTAAGATTGAAGAACATTTACCATAGCCTGTTAAGGCAAATGATAGGTACTATATTATCATTCCTATCGAAAGAAACAGAAACTAGAGAAATGTAAAAATATCCAATCAACTGGGTAAAGTAACAAGTCAATTGAAAAGCCAAAGATAGACCAGGATTCTAATGATTACTAGCCTGGGGAGAGGACTTTTGGCATTTGAAACAAAACTATTGGGAAATGTTAAAAGCACAAAAACTAATCCAAGCCCTAAGGATTGATTTTGTGTGTTTTGTCAGCAACAGAGAGTTAAGGAAGACACTCAATGCTGGGATTAGTACCTAGGTCATTGTGAATGTTAGAGAGGACTCAGAAGCTTGGTGAATAACAATTGTCCTGTTCCATCATTTTACAGGAGAGGATATTTGTATTCTGTTCATTTTCTACATGAGTTTCATGTTGGTTGTTTCGGTTCTGGATGTTGATTCATTCCAGGTATGTTAGGGTAATACTGAATGATCCCTTCAGTTTTCTCCCCCTTCCCCCCACATAGTTCCTAAGCTTGTCAGAACTTGAAGGACCATTTTCAGAGATCCTCAGTACTAAATGCCTATCTTAGCATAAGAAAGTTTCTTATGCAAATGGAAGGCAAGTCAAAAGTATAGACACTGCTTCCCCTCCTTTATGGCTAAATCCTGGAGCTGGGTTGGGATTATTATTGTTGGGTAATTATTTTTGTACCTGTTACCCAACTTCTTGGAGGTCAACTTTTTTAGCTTCTACTTCTTCTGCACCTGGTTTATTTCACTTAGCATAATGTCCTCCAGTTTAATCCATTTTGCTGCAAATGATAGAATTTCATTATTTTTATGGCTGAATAATATTCTACATATATAACAATACATAATTACATATTCCATATAACATATAACAGATTTTCTATACCCATTTATCTGCTGCTGGACACACATCGGTTGATCTGTATCTTGGCTATTGTGAGCAGTGCTGCAATAGCATGGGAGTTCAGGTATCACTTTCATACACTGATTTGGTTTCCTTTGGAGATATAGCCAGAGTGTGATAGCTAGGTTATATGGTAAACAGAAACCAAGTCTCAAGTTTTTCTTTCTGGACAGAGCATTTCTTTTCACAAAGGGAAGAGAGGTGATAGCATGAGGTTTTAGAGTGACTTGTTCATGAACACATGTGAGAGGACCACCAGCATAAGGAAATAGATATATATTAAAAATTGATATATATTTACTATTTATCTTTTTCTGTCTGATTTTAAAAGCAACAAGTGAATGGGAAAACTTAGAGGCCCTCTTTCTTTGGATTAGATAGAAGGTCAACTTAAATTTTATTATCAGAAAAGTTTTTGAAAAGTGTGGGAAAGGGTAAGTTAAAGAGCAAGAGCAATTTCACATGGAAATGCTCAGCTTATTTCCGTTCTAATAATGGATCCTACACATGGCTATGTTTGAAAATTTCTTCAGCCTGCTTAATGGGCTGGAATTTATTAATTCAAGTTAGTATTACAGTCAATTGTTACATTATCTCTTCTGAAAAAAATTTCTTAATTATTGCCATGATTTGTAGGATTATTATTTTTTAAATTAATTCCTACAGACAACTCCTATAACTTATACTGTTGTCCTTTGTAAATGAGATGTTTTCTTCTTTAAGCATCCTGTCATGTTTGTCTTCCGTAAGGACTGAATTACTAGTATACCTTTTTATTTGAAGGCATACTACTCACTTTCTTTCTGACTCTTAATTAAATTATTTATATCCTCTATTAGAAGTATGATTCAAACAAACTTATTACTATGACTTTTGTCTCTTTCTTTCCTGTTTATGTTTTGGAATTGAATTA